TAACAATGACACAAGGATAGATGATTGGAATGTTGAACTGAAGGATAGGATTGCTTGGATTGATTGGAACGGGAGACCTTTCTGTTGGTCCTCTCGCAAATGGAGAGCATCTCTGGGTTGTTTTTGTATGCCGATACCTGGAATATGCGGCCTAGCTGTGAAGAGCATGCCAGCAAAGTGCTGTCGGCCAAGAGGGAATTTGACGCCGCCTGGCTTAGACTTGGTGTCGCTGGACAGAATCAAAGTCATGAAGGGGAATCATGACAATACATTATGCTGGACTAACTCTTAACTTAGCTGTTTCCTAGATCTGTGAGCGATTAGTATCTCCATTACTCCTGTCATCTCGCGTGCGATTATAGGACTTGCTGACGTGCCCGGGGATGCCATGAAGTGTCTTGTTTGAAGTAACACCTCCGAATCGAATTTGTAGGGGCACAGCGGTCAATAATGGTGTTGTGGATGCCGAGTTTACAAAAAAAATGAAAAAGCAAAGAAAATCGTCGATGAAGCCCCAAACAAAGATTCTCCCGGGAAGGGGCGGGGCCAGACGAGTTGTACGAATTGCCTGCTCCACGGCTCAACTAACCCGCGCGTATTTGAATTAGCCGCTACGCCGTAATCCACGTTGCGTGTCATGGGGTGTGCGACGTAACTCGTCCAAATGCTAAGATTAGTCGCCAAATGCTGACTTTGTAAGACCCTAGCGCCATTGTCGCGCACTTTCGAGCCGCGACAACGGCACATCTGTGATACTCGTGGGCTACTCTATCCCACCCACTGAATAGATTCTTCGACACGAATTCTGCTGAGGGTGTTGCTCTAACAACTGAAAGTTTATCACAATTACGACATTTTGTGAGATTGTTAGTCTGTCGGTGTTCCTTTTTTGTTATGGGTCGTGATGGGTTCTTCTTGCCATAATTTTCCTAGACCTATATGTAGAATCTTTGCTGACAGGGATGAAGACTTGTCGTTTGTAAGTACACGTTAATTGGAGTGCAGTGGATGGCCCAGCAGCGTTTCATTTCGCCTCTTGCTTAAATGTCCTCCATGTGCGGGAGCATGTCCTTTCTACCATCTACGTTCCATCTATAGGAGACTCGGCGACCGGAGAAAGGTTTTGCTACCATGGTACGGGGTGTTCTCAGTGCAGATCCTGCGACTTCGCGCGACTAGCGTTAAGGAAAAGAAGAAAGAAGAAGAAAGTGAGGGTTCTCAATCAGCTCTCCTTCGCGACTGTAAATAGATTTATTTATAAATATTATCGACATTGCTTTTTTCTACTTTATTCCCACGTGTCCGACGCAATCTGACTTTCTCGGTCTAAGATTTGATTTTTCAATGTCGAGGGTTCTTCAAGTTCTTTCTTTCATTTCAGGTCCCAAGAGTCTATTTGAGCATAGCTATATTATTTAGTATTAATCTTCTTAACTATATGGATAGATATACAATTGCGGGCAAGTTTTTCATGTCTTCTTTTTTTCGCTGATGATTTATTTTATTCAATTTTGAATTTAGGTGTATTAACAAATATTCAAAGCTATTATAATATTAATGACGCCCAAGGCGGTTTATTACAAACTATATTTATGGTGTTTTTTATGATATGTTCTCCAATTTGTGGTTTCTTAGGTGATAGGTAAGATTAGGCTGTTCATGCAATCCCTCTGGAATTATTATCATTATTTTATACGCTCTATTTATAGGTACGTCAGGAAATGGATTATGACAACCGGGATAGCAGTGTGGATACTGGCCGTGTTCGCCTCCACCTTTATCCCTGCAAACGTTGGTTTAAGCTTTCTGTGGCTGCCCTGGGAGAGAGCCGATACTTTTGTTACTCCATTCTTCTCTCTCATTGCGGAAAATAACTTTGCTGCTTAAGATGTTCTGGCTGTTTTTGTTGTTCCGAGGTATAGTCGGTGTTGGTGAAGCCTCATATGCTGTCATCTCTCCGTCAATAATTGCCGACATGTTCACTGGAGAGAACAGAAGTCGAATGTTGATGTTCTTCTATTTTGCTATTCCTTGTGGAAGGTCCGAGTCGACTTGCTTTCGTGCACACATTATGTCTTGGACTGTATCTTTATAGTACATAGACGCTTGTTAGCAAGAATGATGAAATTGATAAAAGTGATTGACGAAAATCACCTTCAAAAGAATCACCTTCTTTCAGCGGCTTGGGCTTCATGGTGGGTTCTTCGGTCGCCGCGCTAACTGGCGATTGGAAATGGGGTGTTCGTATCACTGCAGTACTAGGTTTGTCGTTGGGACTTCTCAGTCACTGCGCTTTTTTTAATTTCAATTCTTCCTCACTATGGAAAATTGTCCTCTATCCCTGATTATTGGAAACCATTTTAGGTGTCATTTGTCTACTTGCAATCATCGTATTCATTCGAGAACCAGAACGAGGTGGAGC